GAGTGCAGGTTTCTTTCATGTGGCAAACCTGAAGGCCCTTGAGTTCATGTTTAAACTGTCACTGAAGTATTTGGTGTCCCCTATGACAGCAGCCAGGAATCTCCTTATTCCCTCTTTGCCTTGTGTTGTTTCTGTGTTAAGATAGCTTTTTACAAATAATAGATACTCTGAGGAAAGTAGAGTCTCTGTTTTGTTATATAAGAGAAAAAGAGAAATAGTAGTTCAGCCTTTTGTTTGCAGAAGATCGATCGCCTTGTAGGATTTCTGCATCAACTCTGAATCTCTCATTTAACTTCTAAATCAACTTCTTAACATGAACAGTGCAAAATGAGATCCTAAACAGTGTAATGTAAACCTGGATAGCTCTTTAACTTCTGGTTGGTTAGAAGCTCTATCTTTCTTTAGGTGAGAAAAAAGGAGAGGCAATCATCTGTGTTTGTGTATAAGTAAATACAAATATGATATGATTTGGGAAGTATAGTTCCTAGCCTAACTTATCAAAATGTAGCGAGTATAGCTGGTTTTCCTCCTCTGGAAAGCTCCTTCAGTGTATTTGCAGAACTATGTACCTGATCTCTGAGAAGGAGACTTCTTGCATGCCCTTGCATGCAATCCTCTGCATGCCATTGCATTATGTTCTCTGGGAGAAAAGTATCTCCACAAAAATTGTACAGGTGTATAGAGGTTAAATGTTTAGTGTTTCTGGTTTTGAGTAGCTACGGTCACTTCTGTGTCTGAGAGATCTTCCAAGATCGTGGATGTTTGAATAATAGATGTTGTATGTATCACAAAAGACAGGCTCATATATGTTAGACTTCCAAAATATCTGGGGATTTCTGTCAGCTCACAAGAGGAAACATGCTGCTTCTCAAAGGCCTAAATATGCACAAGTCATGGTAACACAGACTGAAAAAAAGATGGATAAATAGTAATGTAAAATATTATACATTAAAATGATAAATTTCCATTTCAGTCTGTATAAGTACTTCTTTGCCTTTTGATGTTTGTTTTTTGGTTGGTTTTTTTTACTTAATGCTAAGAAAAATACAACTTCTACACATTAGAGACAACCTGTTAGACAACATCTGAATTTTAACTCGATAAAAACAAAGTTATTAGTATGGGAAGTTGATAGAGCTTAGATAGAATCCAATTCTCAAACAAAATTACAGTCAAAAAATTAACTAAATACGATGCCAGAAGTGGGCAGTTACTTTTAAGTGTGTACTTTGTAATGTGTACTTTACTCTCTTGCAGGAACAGAAATAGGCAGTAAGAAGAACACAGCTGATCACAGAGCACGGGATGGGTATCTATTTCCTTCTGTTAATTATAGGGCTGTGCTGGGCACAGTACAACCCTAATACTCTCCCTGGGAGGACGTCAATTGTACATCTCTTTGAATGGCGCTGGGCTGATATTGCTCTTGAGTGTGAACGCTATTTAGCTCCTAATGGATTTGGAGGAGTTCAGGTATGTCTGTTCCTATCAGTAGGTAGTAAAGTTGCTACATAGATCATCATTTGTTTTTCAGACAAAGTGTTCAATTCACCAAAGGACAGGTAATGAGAAAGAAAAATATAAATAGATAATGGGAGTAGTAAATGCTTACAAATATATTCTTTAGCACTTGAATTTATTTAATTCCTCCAAAGTATATGTTTTGCACTCTGTGCTATTGCTGTCTCTTGTAGCCCAGGAGTTTGCAAGCTGGCCTGACTGAGAACTTTTCCATAATTTTCAAATACTACATCTTTTATTTGCAAAATTATTTCCAGGCACACAGGTCTGATTGATTTTAAATGGATTTCTCATACTTTGGTGTGTGCTTGGATATCTTTATAATCCATGCTATGACGAGGTCTCAAAAATAATTTTTTTTCAGATGCAGACTTTCTGAGCTGGTCACAAAGGTGTGTCAGATTAGAAGTCTGTAAGTTAGGGATCTTTGTGAGAGATGGTCGGATCAGGTGATTGTACCCAGGGACTTGGAGATAGCAGCAAAAGCTTTTTATCTGAAAAGTATCTTGGAAAGAATCTATAAAAGGAATGGCAAGTCTATAAGTTGGATGGCAAGAATACTTTTCTCCAAAACATCACAAAAATGGGAAGTAATTTGACCCAATTTTAAGGGTAAACTGCTACATCAGCTGTTCTACAGTTAGTTATTTCCTGATTCAGGGTTATGTCTACTGACCTAGACCTTTAGATTTCAGACCTTTATTTTGAATGTTGAGGCCTGCATTCATGAAAATAATTAGGACACCATGTCCATGGACGTGATTTTTCTAGTATGTTTCTACCAGATGAAGGCCCAGGTCCAAGTCTTTTATTTCCAGCCCAGTACAGTGTAAACAGAGGATACTGAAGATATATGTGGGTTAGGTATTATGAGTGTCTTCCATTAAAGGGACCTGATTTTCTATTTTTTCTTCCTTCTGCAACAATACTGGGCAAACAAATAAATTATTGCTGTCCTGTTACCAAGAAACACTCTCTTATTCACAGATTTCACCTCCAAATGAAAATGTTATCATTACTGACCCTAAGCAACCATGGTGGGACAGATACCAGCCTGTCAGCTATAAGCTGTGCACGCGTTCTGGAAATGAAACTGAATTTAGAGACATGGTGACCAGGTGCAACAATGCTGGAGTAAGTGCTTTGAAAACCTTCTGGTGTTAACAGTGCAAGGATGTAGACAACTGGTAATGCAGAAGGAAGACATGGTAACACTGGGAAAAAATGTTTAGGTTTTTTTTCATAGAACCATAGAATAGCTAGGGTTGGAAGTGACCTTTAAAGTCCAACCCCCCTGCAATGAGCAGGGAGAGGTTACTTAGGTCCCCATCCAACCTGACCTGGAATGTTTCCAGGGGTGGGGCATCTCTGAGCACCCTGCTCCAGTGTTTCACCGCCCTTTCCTGTGCTGAGGGCTCCAGAGCTGTATGCAGTACTCCAAGTGGGGTCTCACCAAAGCTGAGCAGAGGGGGAAAATCACCTCCCTTGACCTGCTGGCCCCGCTTATTTTGATGCAGCTCAGGATAACATTGGCTTTCTGGCCTGTGAGCACACATTCTTGGCTCATGTCTCACTTTTCATCCACTGGTACCCACAAGTCCTCTGCAGGGCTGTTTTCAAGCTTTTCATCCCCCAGCCTGTATTGATACCAGGAGTTGCCCTGACCCACATGCAGGACCCTGCATTTGGCCTTGTTGAACTTCATGACATTCATGTGGGCCCATGTCTTTAGCTTGTGTACCCTTTTGAAAAATAGGTGCAATGTTATCTGCTTGTCAGTTGGTGTTATATCACTGTTGCTATATGTTAATAAAATATGAATATTTTAAATAGAATGTTGGGAGAAGCAGAGGAAAGGGGTCACGAGGTAATGAAACAGAGAATGTTAATTAGTGGTGCTGTGGGAGGTAGCTTTCTGAAACTGAACTGTGAATACTATTCTCTAGGTACATATTTATGTGGATTCAGTAATCAACCATATGTGTGGAGCTAGTGCTGGTGCTGGTGACCATGCTACTTGTGGAAGCTATTTCAATGCAAAGACTGAAGATTTTCCAGCTGTGCCATATTCTGGCTGGGACTTTAATGATGGTAAATGTAAATCTAGAAGTGGAGACATTGAGAATTATCATGATAAATCGCAGGTAAGCCTTGAACTATAATTATATTTTCCATCTACATGTGTTCCTGGTCTGGGGTTTCTTTGCTCCTCTTTACTGTCAGACATTTTGTCACCATTTGACTCAGTTTGACAACAATGCTCTCTATCTCCTCCCCCTCCCACCCATGTAGGGAAGGGGAGAGAATGAGGAGAGAGATGCTCTGGATCGAAAACTTAACTATACAGGTTTTTTAAACACAAATGATAAAAGAAAAGATATACGATTATATATAAATGCATTCAGGAAATGTACAGAAACCCTATTGCCTCCCCCAGCAACTCCCCAACAACTGCCACAGCATCTCCTTAGCTGTGAATAGTCCTGAAAAATCCTGGAGCTGCTGGAGAGAGTGCAGCAAAAGGAAAACTGGTTTCATCCTGGCTCAAACCAGGACACATTTTAAAAAAACAAAACAAAACAACAACAACCAAAAAACCCTCATGGAAAACCATCCAAATTGATAACAGAGGTTAGCACTGATATCAGGAACAGCAATTCTTAAAGGAATAGCTCTACTTGAGCCAATGGCTCAGTTTCCAATTTAGACAAATGTGCTCAGCTAAACTTTATAAAGACAGTTTTAAAGCTGTGGGCTATTTGTGTTAAGAAAAAAATCAGGAGTAACTATTTGCTCTTTATTGTTCTTTTAAGTTTGCTTTGGTCTCAATTTCAAGAGAGACATTAGAATTTCGTAAGGAAGAATAGTAATGCTGAAGTCTTGAAAATCAACATTCTGTTTAGAGATTTTTCTTCCTAGGAGTTTGTGTTCCTCTGTATCAAATGTAAGATCATTGTAAGAATAACTACAAAATGCATTTCAGTATATTCAGTGTATGTTTAAAGTACTATTTTGATTAAAAAAATGAGACATATCATTTTGTATTTACTGGAAAGAAAGGCAAAAAGGGGACAAAAGTTTAATATATGGTAAGGCTATAATAATTCAAGATGTTTTAAAGGTTTAGAAATCTAATTTCTGGAAATACTATATCAGAGAAGAAATGAGTGCACTTTGAAATAATAATTAATCTATTCCTTGATACACTGGACTAAAAATAATGTATCCAATTTTTATCCTATACTTGTATTAAAAGGCTAATTACAGATGCAATGGTTTGACTCTGCTATAATCGTGAGTACCTACAGCTGTGTGAGCTGGGTGAATGCAGACTTCTTAATTTTTCTTCTGTGTAGATGACTATCCAAGATAAATGTCCAAGGCAAAGTTCAGGAAGGTGATATCCTTCACTAACTGTCCTAACTTGGGTATTGAGTTTTATAATAAATTTACTTATGTCTAGGTGCAGACCTTGGCATAATTCTCTTCTGTTCAAATTAACTATCCAAACAGAATTGATTTTATGGCTCAAAACGTTCAAATATTTCATGGAAAGGTTTTACATTCTGACATAGTGGCACATAAAACCTTTTTTTCCAAGGTAAATATATGCATACTGAACAATAGCTAATGAAGGATTTATTTGGTATTGTTACATAAATAACAAAGTTCAAAACATTTGTAGAGCACTGCATTTAGTGTTTGAGGTGAAAAATTATTCATTTCAGGATTTTTACACAGGTCCGGGACTGCCGCTTGGTTGGCCTTCTGGATCTGGCCCTGGAGAAGGACTATGTGCGCTCAAAAGTTGCTGAGTACATGAACTACCTGATTGATACTGGTGTGGCAGGCTTCAGAATTGATGCTGCCAAGCATATGTGGCCTGATGATGTGAAGGCAATTTTGGACAAGCTTAAAGATCTAAATACTACATGGTTTCCGGCAGGAACAAAACCTTTTATTTACCAGGAGGTAATCTTTATTTTATTTTACTTTACAAACATGTTTCTTGCAGGTAGAGCATAGACTGAGTCCCACACTGGAAATGATGCTTTGCTTGAGCGAGGCCTGAGCAGCATTCAGGCTCAAGTTCTATAGAAATCATAATTTTTATTTAATAACCATAGCTTACAAATATCTGATCTGCCCAGAAAGGGTAATTGATGTGCAAAATGCCCCAGTTGTTTTGGACCTTGTTGAACTAGGTAACCTGGAAATCTCATTTGAGATGAAATTTACAGCATTTGAAGTTATTGTGAAAATTCAGTTGGTTTAAAAAAGATATTTCACTCCCTGAATTTTAAATTTCGGATTAAAATTGCAACAGAAGATAGAAATGGCAGTTATGGTCTGAAACTTTGTTTTCCAGTGGCATAACCATTGTTAGTTGACATTCCAAATTGGTGCCTCCAGGGTCTAGGGCCAAGAGGGAAGCATTCCTCAGCTACATAGTGAAATGAGGTTGCCCATGTAAGGGAAGAAGAGGCATTGGTGACTAGACTACATACAGAGTTGGTATGGTCCAAGCCTGAATTATGCAGTAGTGATCAATCAAGTCATAAGATTTAGGATTGACATGGAAAATAAGTTAATTGCCAGGCTGAGATAAAATTAAGAAAATAGCTTTAAATAAATTTTTGCAATTAAGTCAAATCATATGCTAGCTCAAGAACTGCCTCTTCCTTAAAATACTTTCTGAGTCCAATGCCTTTACTTGCTTGGCTTTTTAAGCAGAAAGGAACACTTGGTTTTTCCTGTACCAGGTTATTGACTTGGGTGGAGAGCCCATCAAGGGCAGTGACTACTTTGGAAACGGCCGAGTGACAGAGTTCAAATACGGTGCAAAACTGGGGACAGTGATCCGCAAGTGGAACGGAGAAAAGATGGCCTACTTGAAGTAAGGATGAAGATGCTGAGACTTACCCAGGATAGGCTGGATACAGCAGTTGAAGGGCAGCTTCAAGTCTTTGTGTTTTTGGCTAGGAACTGGGGAGAAGGCTGGGGCTTTATGCCTTCTGACAGAGCCCTGGTTTTTGTGGATAATCATGACAACCAGCGTGGACACGGGGCTGGTGGATCTTCCATTCTAACCTTCTGGGATGCCAGGTAAGGGGCTGCCCTTGTCTGGGTGATGCTGCTTCCTTTTGCTTGTTTGTCTCTCTATTCTCTGGCACCATTTCTCTTCCTGCATCTCATTAATTTATTTCTCTATCAAACAGACTTTATAAAATGGCAGTTGGTTTCATGCTTGCTCATCCATACGGGTTCACACGTGTGATGTCAAGTTTTCGCTGGCCAAGATATTTTGAAAACGGACGGGTAAGCTTGTAATGCTGAAGATACATTCATGGTGAGTAAGGACCAGAAGAGGGCCAGAGAAGCAGTCCAGCGCATTTAAATTTGCTAAGTGCTTTTTCTGTCCCATGCTGGATCTATCAGGGGGAGACTCGGTGCTCTGTCCAGATTTTCTGTACAGATAGGCTCTCTGCATTTTCAGTGGCAAGTTTTAAATTTCTCTTTTTGATCGCAGGATGTCAACGACTGGGTTGGACCACCGAGTGACTCGGATGGATCCATAAAGCCTGTGACAATCAATCCAGACACTACCTGTGGCAACGACTGGGTTTGTGAACATCGCTGGCGTCAAATCAAGTAGGTGACTGTGGGGAAAAAATAAGTAAAAGCGGTTGCTTTTGCTCCATGTTCCTTGTGGCTGAGAGCTCTTGTAGCCCCAGTGACTGCTCTTCCTTGCCTTTTCAGAAACATGGTTATCTTCCGTAACGTGGTGGACGGTCAGCCTTTCTCCAACTGGTGGGACAACAACAGCAATCAAGTAGCCTTTGGCCGTGGCAACAAAGGCTTCATCATTTTCAATAACGATGACTGGTAAGTCAGTGGAGCAGAGCACCTCCCCAGAGAGGCACTGCATCAGTCATCAGCCATACTGATGGGGAAGGGAACATCCTCTTCTCCTGAGGGGAAGGAGCTCAACTCTACCTCTAGCCTGAGCTAGAGTCATTCAGTTGCACTCCAGGTCTAGAGGGTCAAACCGGGAACATAGGGAGCAAAGCAGAGATAGGACCAAAAAGCTCATGCTCCACATTGCCCTTCAAAGTAAGGAAGGAGCATCTGGTTCCAAAGTCCTATGAGCATTTTGAAATACCTGCTTTGAAAAAAAAAAAAAAGGATAAATAGCTTTCCCTTGTTTTCACGTAGGGACATGAACGTCTATTTGCAAACGGGACTGCCTGCTGGTACCTACTGTGATGTTATTTCTGGACAAAAGGAGGGTGACAAATGTACTGGAAAACAGGTGTACGTTTCTCGTGACGGAATGGCTAATTTCCAGATCAGCAGCAGTGCTGAAGACCCATTTGTTGCAATTCACGTTAACGCCAAATTATAACTGGGAGACATTTCCTTCTCTGCTTGGTCTGTGCATCTCTGTTGATTCCCTGGTATTTAGCATGAGCGTGTCTCTGTATCTGGTGCATAATAAATGGCAATCAAATTGGAGAGTGATGCTGCTTCCCGTAATGACTTGGACTGTAACTGTATCATGCTGTAACTCATGGCAGTGCAGGGGTGGTTTTGAAGGCAACACAGCACTCCATTTCCCAGATCACAGAAACCCGAGAGAAACTAAAATAAACAAAAATCCCCAAAACAATGCCTGGGTAGGTTAAAATGCAGTGTTTCCCAGGGTGACAGATCTGCACACAACTGTATCCCAGAGCAGCTGCAGTGCATGCAGTCAGCTATGAGCAGTGCAGATGCTGCTGATAGTTGAGGACTCTTTCTTTCCTGAGAGAACAATCTCAACTGTGTAGCATGCTAAGATAGTTGTCTGTCTGGTGAGTAGCGATAGAGATAAATATATTCCTTTTTTATAAGGTGCTAATTCAAGTCTAATACATCTAACAGAGCTTCTTTAGACTCTCATCTCTAGTAGTCTTTTAAGTTCTTTTTTATAACCTTTCTGGGAATAGCTCAATGCTTCAGTTAATACACAGGTACTCTTTGCTTCCATTTCATTCCCTTCAAGCCTTTGTTATGACACAGCACAATATTGATTACTCATTTGGACAAGCTAAATAAATAATAAATATCAGTAAGGCAGATGACTGCATTGAAATTGCTCTGACCATGTCAGAGTTCAGTACTCTCTGACCAGCTTTTTAGTTATTCCGTGTGTGGAGGGTGTAATGTTTAATATCTAATTTACTTATTTTAACATCACTGATGCTAGATACTTTTTCTGACTTAACAGAGTGATACAGAGTATACTGAAATCACAATACAAAGGTAAGTTAGAGTTAGCAAAATACAACAATTGCAATATACAGTTCAACCACACTATCTACATGATCTCCATTTTTGGTGTCTCTAATACACTCACCATCAGGGTGCTGGATGTTCCAAGTCAGTGGAAAGTATGTGGATTGAAACCAGCTAAAGCCCATTGCTGTCTTGAAAAACCTTTTGTTTGTTGTTTAGCTTTATAAACTCTTTTGTGTTGAGCCACATATACACTCCTCCCCATGCTGGTCTGGCTAAATCAGGCAGATGTTCAAGCTCTTAATTAACTTAGGGTTCAACAGTTACACAACCAGCTGATGCACTCAATTGATCTAGTGGTTTATCTAAAATAAGGGCCATCCTCCAGCTCTCTTTGTGTTGAGATAAAGTCAGCATTCAAGGAACTCTTGCCTTTCTCCTCTGAGCCTTTTTCCTTTGGAGAGGTCTATTGGTCAGTCAAATGCCGATAGATATGTACACACAGACACTGCAGCAATGTATTGGGAAAATGTTGCCATTACAGCATGGCATCCATTGTGTATTTGATGGACAGGGTATAAGAGCAGGCCTGCTTTTTTAGGTTTGCAGTGTATGTTGGTTTTGGCTGGGATTTTCTTCATAGTAGCTAGTATCTGGCTGTGTTTTGGATTTGTGCTGAAAACAGTGTTGATAATGCAGAAATGTTTTAATTATTGCTGAACAGAGCTTACACAGAGCCAAGGCCTTTTCTGCTCCTCAAACCAGCCCACTAATGAGGACACTGAGAGTGCACAAGAAGTTGAGAGGGTGCACAGCTGGGATGGCTGATCCCAACTGACCAAAGGATATTCCACACCACATGACACCAAGTTCAGCATATAAAGCTAGGGGAAGAATAAGGAATAGGGGATGCTTGATTCAATGGTGTTTGTCTTCTCATGTAAGCATTGAGTGTGATGGAGCTCTGCTTTCCTGGAGATAGCTGAATCCTTGCCTGCTGATGGGAAGCAGTAAATTAATTCCTTTTTTTTTTTTTTTTTTTGCTTTGCATATGTGACTTTTGCTTTACCTGTTAATCCCACCATTTTTCTCATTTTTACTCTTCTGATTATCTCCCCCATTTCACTGAGGGGACTCAGTGAGTGGCTGTGTGGTGGTTAGTTACCAACTGGAGTTAAACCATGACACAGTGTAAAAGCTTGCCAATAAAAGGGTCTCATTTCAATGCTTAGAACCCGCATTCTCCAGTTCTTCACAATCAGGTTTCCAGTGATGCTGGAGGATCAAACAGATTAAATCATGGGATTTCAAAACAAAGCCAAGCCCTTCCAATGTGTCATCTGCCCAGTTTCAAGTCTGCTGAAAATCCCCTGAAAACCAGTGCAAAGTTGTTAGGCACCAGATATTTTTACCATACTGAAAGAGATTCTATGTTTGACAGTGCACATTAAATACTTTCTACTTGGAGTTATACTTCAGAAAGATTTGTAAATCATCAGTGCTGGATGGCTGCCTTCTCTCCCTCCCTCATGCATTTCCTCTGATTGCTAAAATACTGCAGCCTATTCTGCTTGAGCTGCTGAATAGACCATCACATGAGGTATCTCTGATCTCTTCCTAGTGCCTTGACCATCCATTGTATCAGGCTGTCAAGGATGGGTCTTTACTTTCCTTGGCTGATGGCAGTGTATTTCAGTGGAAAACACATATTGTTGGAAGCAGATGTTGTGCAGTGGCAAGCCATCACATCAGTGGAACCCCACAGGAAATAGTGATGTAAAAATTGACCTGAAGCACATTTCGTTGCTCTAGGAAATACTGAGGAATGGGAGAGGGTCTGTTCTTACTGAATTGGTAATCACAAGGTGCAATGATCTCACCAGTTCTTTGCTATGAGTAGGCAAGGTCATTTGCAGGAATTTACTGCTTCATTGTTGTTGTTGTGGAAAAAGTGACCTTTGATAAGGTTTGTGATAAGGAAATGAACAGGTGGGCAAATGGGACCTGCTTCTGTGTTTTGTCCTTCAAGACAAACTCTGGGAAAGAGAAGGATGCATGTAGCATTCAATGGTATCACTAGTTTCAGAAGATACATACTAGAAGTAGTTCAGGTATCAAGTGCACTGAGAGGGTCTTTTCTCTTGGAGTAGGTGTTCCATTTTTTTGACTTTGTGGTTTCCTCACAGATAGCAATCAAATGTCAGGGGGTTGTCTGGTCTTTGTATTCTCTCAGAGTGTTGTTTTATCATGGGTGTGACTTGACCTTATTCATGGAGCGTTGTTTCAGAGATCTTGATCTTAAAAGTCAGTTCCAAATGAAGACCTGCAATTACATCATGAACAAAAGTCAAAAGATTTTTTCTGAAGGAGAAAATTGTAGTAAAAAACAGAAGGGACTTGGACAACAGCTTTGGCTTTCAAATTTAGTTTTATGCCAGGCAACTAAAACTCACTTGCAGTTTCACTTTACATCTGATTTTGGGTTTCTTTCTGTCTTCATTTAGTCAGTTGTTCTTTTACCTGATGACCCCTCCCCATCCAAGAAGGAGGATCAGGAAAAGGAAAGGAGACCCATGAATTGAAATGGGGACAGATTTAATAAAATATTAATAACAAACTAATATTAATACCGATATAAAATACACAGAGTTATACTTAGCCCTTGTAGTGGTGGCAAGATGTGCACTCCCAGCAATGAATGTTAATCACAGTGAGCACCACAACTCTGGTGAAAGCACGAAGGTCACAGCAAATGGGAAGGTAGGCCTCAGGGGCAGAAGGATGGATGAGACCCTCTGGGCTGGTGACAGTGGAGGAAACAGACCTGTCCCCAGCAAATTCTTCAATGTATAGTGAGCGTGATGTTTATGGTATGGAATACTTGTATTGGTCAGCTTGGGTCAGCTGCCCTGGGTTTTGCTCCTCCTAGCTGTAGCACCTAGCTGACTTGAAACTGCTTAAGACTTTGATTGCTATGGAAACCTGCACACCATGGCTGGCCACAAACTAAAACAAAGAGTCATATCAACTTTGTTCCTGCCAAATCAGGTGCTGCAGTCTTCTCAAAATGTGGCTTTACCAAATAGAGAATTGATTCTATGAGTCTATCCTAGTAAAACCAAGACATCTCCCTTCACTCAGATGAGTCATTGGTCATTTAAAGTGAGAAGAAACCTTATGCAGTCTGTTGGATAGGACAACACTTGAAGCTCTTACCAGTTTTAATCAGGTATCACAGCAGTTTCTCTGCATGACAGTATGAAGAAAACTGGTGACAGTTCATAGTGGGGACTGGACGATGACATTAGAAAAGCTTCAGGCATGAAAAGGGGTTTAGTTTCTTGTTATCAGCGTAATTCACTTGGTGAAGACACAGGATGCGCTGTGATACATCTGTTACTGATTGAGAGTGGCTGATCAGGCACACTGGTTTGAGCTCAGACGTAGCTCCTTTTACCTTTCAGTGACCCCTTTGAGGGTCTATGTATGTTATGTTTCAGAATACTTTTGATAAAGTTTGTTGACATGAATGGAAAGAGTACAGGTCTGAATTTGGGCACACTGCTCATGGACTGCTTGCTTTATGATAATGTATAATCATTGTGAAAAGGTATTTTAGCTTCAGCTGTTGATCACTCAGGGAGAATACAAAACAGAAGACTGATAACAAGCTAGCTAGCCAAGTAATAACTGATAGCATTGGTCTGTGTGAATTTTGACAGCTGCAATAGGAACTTTGTAATCTTGCAGGAGTATAAATTCCCAGTGGAGAGCCCATAGCCTTAAACTGAAGACATCATGCAAGTCCTCCTCCTACTCGCAGCTGTAGGGCTGTGCTGGGCACAGTACAACCCTAATACTCTCCCTGGGAGGACGTCAATTGTACATCTCTTTGAATGGCGCTGGGCTGATATTGCTCTTGAGTGTGAACGCTATTTAGCCCCTAATGGATTTGGAGGAGTTCAGGTAAGTTGTTTCCTGTGGGGCAGGAAAGTGGCATTGTAGCATTCAATTATTAAATCAAGATGCCTGAATCAGAGAGAGACAGCTCTAAGTAACTTCGGTGTTGGAAAGGGAGACATGGTAGTAGTAACAGCTGTTAGACACAACCCTAGAGCTTATAGCTCT